AGATAAAATAATTATCCCAATAGAATTTCCTAAACAACAATTTACATAATTCAGCTTGTGAAGAAAATTTTCATTAAAAAAATTTATGAAGAAATTTAGCAATCACAATTATTATCTCTTGAAATTATACTAAGAAGATAAGTTCGAATTTCTTTGCCGCATTATTTTAGCCAAAACAATAGTACATAGTTTCTCTGTGACGGATATTCCAATAATATTATGCTCCATTAGTATATTAAATCATCCCATAAGATGCAGTATAGGCATGTTATTAATAAATATAATTTACTCTAATTTTCATTACAAAACAATATCTAAAATTCACATCAAGTCCTGCGGATCAAATGGCATTAGTCATCTCACGATGTACTTCCTCTTATTTCTAGGCTTGGGTTCGACTTAGCCCCTTATCTACTAGTTCAAAAAAACAAAAACAATATCTAAAAAATCATTCATTACCCTATTAAAAATAACAAACATTAATCATATTAAATAGGTACATATTCTCTTTTTAATCGAGTTTGATCTAGCTTCATGTCTAACTGTTTAAAAAAATAATAATATTTAAAAAATCGGAATTAGGCCTTCAGACAAATAATTTGTTTTCAAATCTTAAATATTTGAATTTAATTGATAAAAAATTTAATATTTACAAATTATTTTAAAAAAATATCTTCATTTTTTAAATTCTTTCATGTTTAAATAATAATAATAATAATAAATTAAAATAAATCCTAAAAATCAATAACACGTGGCAGTTTTCCATTTGTGGTGCCAGCTTGTGGGGGACAATTGTTAATTTCTTAACTAATAAGCCCTCACATCACAATTACTCCCTACATTTAAGTTCATTACAAAAATTTTGTGGGTTTGTTGTGTTTGCGTCTATCATGGTACAGTTTAGGGGTTTGAGGTAACAATACCAATTCTTTTACCTATTTACTCATTATATATTAAAATATTTTTATTTTTTATTTTAAATTTATCTGAAATTAGTTATCATTTTTTTATTTCTTAAAATAGATAAATATTTTTTTATATTTTAACCCTATCATTATTCATTTATTTTAATTAATTATTTTATTACAAAAACTCTCACTTTATTTTTTAACTTTTTTTAAGAATCATATAAATAAATATATAAATTATCTCAAAATGTTTAATTTAAAAAAAATTAAAAAATAACAATTACTTTGAAATAAAGAGAGTATAATTTTGTTCTCACAATTTTTTAACAATATAATTGACTATTTAAATATGTGAAGCACAATATATATATTTTGTTATTTAATATTTTTTTATAATATAATTTAGTTTTCCACCTAGTACTAAATAAAAATGGTTTAAAATATTTTTCGACCTCATAGTGTGTTTTAGCAATATAATTGACTATTTAAATATGTGAAGCACAATATATATATTTTGTCATTTAATATTTTTTATAATATAATTTAGTTTTCCACCTAGTACTA